TCTCTCTCTCTCTCTCTCTCTCTCTCTCTCTCTCTCTCTCTCTCTCTCTCTCTCTGTGTGTCTGTCTTTCTGTCTCTCTCTCTCTCTCTCTCTCTCACACACACACACACACACACACACACATCTGCGGTTGTCCTGTAGTCTGGTTTGTAGGCTCTCACCACGATCCCCACAAATCCAAAAATGTGAAAACGAACAGACCGCACAACAAGAATACTATATACTAAAAAACAAAGCATCTCGCCTAAGGCGGCAAGGCAATGAAAACGATCTCGACCCACATAATGGACCAAAACCCAAGAGTCACAAATGCCAAGTTACCCTAGAGTATTGAAACACCTGAAAAGCAGAGTCCGTCTGTCAAACCATCACATATGAGCAGATCAGCATCGAGGACTCCCCCTCCTCCTACACAGAGAGTGAACAACAACTTTCCACCACCTGTATCACCCACCCACTCTCTTTCAACATAGAAAGCAGAAGCACGATCCTCCCAAGCCATATGTTCGTATGAAACGTGCCCACTCTCTTTCAGCATAGACAGCAGAACCACAGCCTTCCAAGCTCCAACGCAACTTTCCATCACAACGGATCTGCCGTCTTCCGAGCAGGAAACGAAGACAGGTCGTAGAGCTCCAATGAGGCAACAAACGAAACACCTAAACGCTGCCACCAACGCCCCACGAAAGGAAGAAAGAGAGATTAGTCCATAACTCATGACTCAGGGTTGGCTATCCTCCTAGCATGTTGCATAGGGTTGGCATGGCAGTTCCTTAGTAGGGGATGTCGGGGGTGTCAGGAGATACTGCACCTTATCGCGGGACCGGAACGGGCTCCAGGGACACACGAGGGAACGGAGGATTCCCAGCTTTCTATCATCACCACACAACTGTGCTAGATGGGAGTCACTGTGGACCCTCATGAAGACCTGTAGTAGCATGTTCATACCTAGCTCCCGAAAGTCCCCGTGCAATCGGGCTTGCACAGCGTCTGCTTCAACCGGGGCTGAGCAGGGGGTAGGGGTCTCTGCTTAGCCAGGGTGCCTGCAACCGCTGTCTGATCAGGTCACCCCGCCAAGATGGTGATGGGTGATAGTCCTGGTTGGTTCACACTAGGGTAGGACAGCGGGGGTGGGGGTGCGCCAGGGCAAAAAGATGAGAGGAAGGATGGGTGGGGTCTTCAGAGGGGTTCATCTGGACAACGAAGTGGCCAAGTACTGTGGGTGACTTCCATCTGTCTAGTATCCCACCTACAACATCCTGGTCTTTATTTCAAAAAAAAAAAAAAAAAAAAAAAAAAAAAAGAAGAGCCGCATCAACGCAGCGTCCAAGCACTCAGAAACAGCATAAAATCCAACAGCAAAGCGGCCCAGGAAGCCGCAGGCAACAAGCAAAAGCCCACTATGCAAGCGAAGTCCGTCATCCTGTAGAGTTGCATATCTAACACCAGGGGGTCAGCAAACCCCTGATTGGTTTTCGTATCTCATATTTTGCGGCGATCAGATCCCGCCCCTCAGTCGTCCCCACCTCTACCACGTACCCGACTCAACTGAAAGGGATTACCAATGTGCCAACGTTGACCAGGATCAGCCATAGCCAGGGACCAAGCAATGATCCCTGTGAAACTCACGTCTCCCACCTGTGCCCACGCGCCCCATCGCCCCACTGAGTTCCTGCCACCCCAACAGCAGGCTCTGGCACGGGGACCTGACGCTGCTCCATGTAGCTCCGCTTAGCGATCCCCCACTGCGTCCAGCCGCCGCCCTTATAGTAAAGAATTCTGACGTCACCCTCAGCCAAAAGTTGTTTGCATTGCTAAATGGTGTAGAGGAGGCGAGTCCAGTTGGACTATGTTGCACAGTCTGTCTTTTCAGATTGGAAGTTCTCCTCCCCACTAGTACCTTTCCCACGTGGGAAAATAGGGAAAACTGGCTGTTTTCCCAAACTCCTAAAGATTCGGAGGCCGGGCCCGACGACGACTGCCATTGATAAATCTGATTGGCGGCCGTCGT